AAAAAATGTATACTAAGAGTTTTCTAGCTGGATTCGTTTAGATAATCCTAATTTTGCTGGCAATATTCAAAGCATCGTAATCAAGAGCCTCTTGAAAATATGCCTTTTTTCTGAACTCCATTAGGACTGATGGGATATTGACCTTGATCACATTAATGCCAGAGAGCCACTTCACAGTCAGTTGGTGCTTTTCAGCCTTGACTTCCATAATGAACACAGGTGTGTGTCTTGTATCTTCCTCATAGCCAACTCAGTGGTCAGGGAGAACTCCATGATGCCAGCATGGTCAAGCATGTTTCTTTTGGGGACACTCTTTTGAAGGTACGTGGGCTGCCTCTGGAGCTACAGTGTCTTGGGCTGTAGGAGGTGGGTAATGTGTGGTCTTTTCTTTTCATATGGCTGTGGATGCCTTTTAGTACTACCTTCTTGGCCTTCAAAGTCTTTCTTTTGGCTTTGTTCTGGGAGGGGAAACAGCTTCCTTTTTAACCTTTGTTGCCATTTTAGAGAAAAGATCACACAAGAATTTTTGTATTGGTCGGAAAAGAATATCCGGACATGCTAGGAGGTAGATGCTGCAGGAAGTGCTATTTTAAAGATGTCAGCAAATTCCCAACCACCTACAGCTTGAGAAGATTGCATAGGCCTTATCTGTCTCGTTAGGACTGGTTATCTTGCTTTTCTGGCCAACTTGAAATATTAGAAATTATACTCTTGTCTTCTATCTTCCTATGACAATTTCAGTGAGAAGCCCTGACCTCCTCATACTGGGATCCAAATTGTTAGGTTGAGCAGGCCACCTTAGCAGTAAATCACCCTGATAGAGGGTAAAGTCTTACAAAAATATCTTAGTTTACTAAAATTTTGGAGACCTACTTTAAGTAAAACATGTCATTGTCAGAAATACTCAAGCTGATCAAATACTTATGTGATTACTTACTACCTTTATATGTCACTTAGATTGGGAGGCAGGTAAAAATCTGCTCCCAGGATCTCTGAGCTCACCTCTGGGAACTGGTGAATTGTGTATGTACGTGCCCACAGGTGCTGAAGGTTTAATGTAGAAATGTGGACAGCAAAGCAATGACAGCATTGGAGTGAGGAAACAGAACTTCAGGGTTATATTTAAACAGGGCCCAAAACTAGAAAGGTGTTATTTATAGGATTGAAAGAGAGAAGTGGTTGCCTTCTGGCAATTGTCAACTAAGCTGCCTGGGAGAAGGCACCAGCTAAGCACTATTCATTCACGCTAAGCCTTACTTGCATCATCCAAGTTGGTGGGAAATGAGGAACAGTTAAAATGGCAGCGGCCATCAAAGGGTAGATTCCAGAAACTAAATGACTTGAGGCCAGAGACCAAGTCTTCACATTATCAGAACAAAATAAAAGCTCTAGTATGAAGTAGGTGCTCAGTAGATATTAACAACTGAATGAATGAATGCTTTCAAGCAGGTACTAAGGCAAAGATTTTTTCCTGATGGTATCTCTTTCTTCAAGATAATCTTCAGGGGCAGTGATGCACGCCTGTAATCCCAACAACTCAGGAGGCTGAGGCAGGAAGATTAGCAAAGCCTTGGATTTAGGGATACCCTGTCTCTAAATAAAAAATAAAAAGGGCTGG